TGTTAGTTCCCAATGCAGTAGGAAACCTACAGATAAGTTTGAGGTTGTATTTATTTCTATCTATCCCTGTCACATCATGTAACCTATCCACCAAAGCTGAGTAAGTTGTGTCATGAGCAACCTTTATCACACGTTTATAACCATTATTATATCGTAAAATATCATGGTTATTGAATATGGTACCACCCCAATAAACCATTATAGAAGCACGTCTTTCAACCATTCGTAACAATTCTACAATAAAGACATCAAAAGTTAGTGTGTATACACAACCAAAACATAAAAATCTTACTTGTTCATGCTTACATCGAAACTTTTACTTGTTCATGCTTTCAAATGTAAATAAACTAGGTAGCCCATCCTAATATAAGGATGGCGAAGCATGGTCCACCTCCACCCTTAATAAGGTGATGGCCAGAATAAGTCGAACCTTTTCTCCTGCCCATCTAGGTTGTGGCTTTTATTTGCAGGTGATTAGGAGTGCCTTTGTTACAAGAAGTTCTATCATTGCTCTATGACCAACTACTAAGTGTTTACTGAATCAAGTCATCATATCAAATCATTAAAAAGTTGACCCTATAATGTCAAACTTTATTCCAAAATTTTCAACTTATGAATTTCAGGGGTTTGCCGCTACGTTGAGCAATGACAATTATTAAAAGAGATCAAAATCTATAAGAGAGTGAATTCATTGTCACACTAGTGTATATCTCTAAAGAACTACAAAGGGTAGGAGGTTGTAAATTATGATTATGTTGTTTCTATTGTCGATCCACTCAATGGATCCAAATATATGAAGGTTTCATTCCTTTAAAATAGGCATAGTTACACATTGGAAGAATAACAAAAATACAATGCACAAATGAAGCCTTATGTCACAATGGCAAGGCCCATATACTTCATCTTTTATTAATCTTTCAGTGTTGGAAACGTTTGGTGAGTCACAGTTTCCAGGTTTCCCCTCATTTGATCATTAAGTATAAATGCACTCAGCGCCATAAAAAAAAACACACTTTCATTAAGTATAAATGCACTCGCTTTCATTTTGGGCCAACATATAACTACCCACCATAACAAAAGGTATGTCTCTGATCTCCCTCTCTACGAACAAAGCCTAATAACACCTAAAAATAGTGATAATATCATGCATATGTCATTTGTCTTCACCATTTGAAAGTGCCACACCATTAAACACAACTAAACTTCCTATGTAATTGTTTATCAATATTTGAATAATGGCCATATTTGTTGCCTAGGTACCTAGACCTTCATCAAGTTTGATACACCATTACTATAAAACCAAAAAAAAATAATGCATTAAATTCTTCAATAATTTAACACATACAAACAACATGATGCATGAAGGGAAATGCCAATTATTATAAGTTGGCTACCCATAAAACAGGTTGATTGCAGTGTTGTAAACATGCTTATTTGTGCATTTATTTTCCTTTTTGGTTGGGATTTCAGGAAGTGGATGATTTGATGATTTGTAGATTTTTGCGAGCCCATGATCTAGATATTGAAAAGGCTTCTGACCTATTTCTAAAGTATCTAAGGTGGAGGAGAGAATTTGTCCCAGCTAGATCCATATCTCCATCAGAAATTCCTAATGACCTCGCTCATCACAAGATGTATATGCAAGGAGTGGATAAGAAGGGGCGCCCCATAGTAGTTTGCTTTGGAAGCCAGCATTAAGCAGATGAGACTGGAGGAGTTCAAGCGTATGTGGTTACTCTGAAATTGTACATGAGTGATCTGAATTCTAATGCTATGTGTATATAACATTTGTGAATTAACCAAATACTTTTTTGTTCATTCTATTTTGGTTGGATACAATGATAATTGAATTGTCTTGGTACTTTCTTGTTTTGTTTGGTTCACACAAATGCGGCCACACAAATACCATACTAAGAACATATTTTCTTTACATATATATGTGGAAAATGATGTTATGCTGCGCTAAATTCTCTCCCCCTATTTTCATTGCAGGTTTTGTGAAGTAAAGAGGGTAACGTATAGAATTACTCTTACCAATGTATTTATGGGGTGAAGTAAAGCCTGTAACTCGTAGAATTACTCTTAACCAGTTACAAAACTTGATGAACCATAATAATGAAACTAATAAAAATAAAAATCTAACTTCTTAATCTGTTATTGAATTAGTGACAACTTTAAAAACTCTATTAAGTCATATCGTTTCAACTTTTCAGAAAAAAAACCCGTCTTCAAGTGTAATTAATTAATTTTTTGAAAAAAAACCAAGCACTATATAAATGTCCACCACCACATATTTAGAAACCACCCATCTTAAACAACAATAAACAAAACACCACAATCCCTTAACCTTGACACAATACAAGCAATGGCTTAACTTGATGCTATGCTACGCTTTTTCTCTCCCCCTGTTTTCATTGCAGGTTTTGTGACTTATACCCTTGACAAAATATGTGCAAGGTAATTCATTTTTGTTAGTGCATTTGATTGACTCATTTTTTTTCTAGAAACGAATATTCAAGGAAAATGGCTTTTTACTAAATCAACGCAAGTCGATAAAGTTGAATATGGTTGTGAGCAGGCAATCAATAACCCATAAATCTGCATCCTGGAATTTAAAACTGGCATTTTCCCTTCATTCTATTGGATTTATACTTCCTACACACTTCATCTACAATCAGGATTAATGCACTCAGCGCCAGCAGATGTAGGAGAAAAGTAGTAACTGATTACTCATCATACCTGTAAACCACCATATTCCTATCTTTATACAGCAATGTAATTATTTTTGAAATTCTAATATATGTGATGACGTAAGAATGAACCATATAGATTATAACAGTAGGAATAAATACTAGGGAGGTAAATTTATTGTGAAGTTAAGTTTTGAAGATGTTTAAACTTGGGATGGGTTGTTAGGTAAGTTTCTAACTATTTTTAGGTCAAAATAAGATTTTTATTGAACCCAGAAGGCCGAGGAACATTGGGAGAGGTAATATGGGGTGTATTAGAAGTTAGGAAGTATCCCGGAGTTTAAACACAGTTTAGAAAGATTTCGGATATGAAGGAATTTGATACTACCTTAGTATTATAGCCATAAATTTTTACTCATAACTCCAATGGATTGGATTTTTGGAAAGTAGAAACTAGATTTCAAGGGCTACAAAAGTGTATTTCACGAACATTTTCTGAATTGGCTTCTAAATAAGTCAAAATTGATCATGAAGTTGAGGGTATTCTGTCACCTGCATCTGGATAGGAATAAACAAGCGTTCGGACGCGCCAAGCCGGGGGCTTCACGTCCCAGACCTATTTTGGTTGCTTTCTCCAATTTTTCTTCCATTTTCATCAATGCCAACCACTAGAGAGGCTTAGAGAGGAAGAAAGAAGGGAAAAACAAGAGATTAAAGTGTTGATTCAAGTTTGGGAAGATCAAATCTTCTAGTTCTCAGACAAAAGCTAAGGAAGCAAGGTAGGGGTTTCTTCCTATTCTTGTTCATTGAGGCTAAGGTTTATATATATGTATTTTTTGACTCTAAATCCTATTTATATGTTAGAAAATCCTCAATTCTTGATATTATTACAAATATTATCATGTTTTAAACAAAACTATAGTTGGGTAGCCATGAAATCTCTTTTTCTTGTATTAAAACCCTAGTTTTCAAGAGAAGTGAATTTTTCTCTTGATTTTTCCTTTGTTCTGGATTTCAAAACTCTAGTGCTCGGTATTGAACAACAAAATGGTATTTTTGATGATCTCTTGCATATTTTCTTAAATTATTCTATTGGAATAATACATGTGAAATTTGAGAATTTTGGATTTGTTTGTGACTTGAAAAATTGGTTGGATATTGTATCTTTTGTGGATGTTTGGATGACCATAGGTGATCGTTGACTGGGTATCGTAGAGTGGGTAGATGTGTTTCTTACTCCGTGCGAGTTTGAATTTTTTCTACCACTCGTAGTGGAATTGGTGTCTTGCAAGGACTAAACCACTATTCGTTCACGTGGTATCGAGGCTGAGGGTTAGTATACTATTTCTGGGTTGGATTCGTCACTGCCAATACATTGGTATACACCCTTCCTAAAGTTGGATATCCTTGCGAGGATTGGGTGTGTGTGTGTGTGTGGGCCAGGATATTCTCGATGTGTTTATTCATGCGATGTCATACATCATACCTGAGATACATTGTAGGCTATTGTTTATTTTGCAGAATGGTTGGTTATAGTTTATTGTGAAAAGGAGTTTATGGTGAAATTGGTTTATTGTGAAATTGGTTATTGTGGAAATGGTATCTTGTTGGAATTGTTATTTTTAGGAATTGGTTTTACTGTTTCATTTAATTATTGCTATTGTATAAACTGGAGATCCATTGAAATGTAAAATGAAACTGAACGTTTTATATGCTTTTGAAACCTTGTTCGAGTTTGAGAGGATTTTCCTACAGAACTTAGTGCTTACCTCCTACAAACAACATTATTTTCAGATTTTAGGGCATGTGGACCCGGAGGGGGATGTCTAGAACTGTTCTTTTTATGTCCTAGATTAGGAGGTTTATTTTGAGATAATGTTCATGTTAATATTTTTGTATTTTGCTGCAAGATAATAATTAATTTTTGGGATGTAATTACCGTAGTTGGGCATATTCTTTTGGATACAATGGTTCATGGCTTGACATATTCTTTTTGGATGAAGTTCTAAATATTATGGATAATGAAATGGAATTTCCTTTAATTATAAACTTTATTAGTTGCTCTCATGATGTGAATGATTTTAAATAGTAGTGCCGTCCAAGGGGAATTTTGGGGCGTTACAATACCTGTTGCTTGATGCGAGTCGAAAATGGTCACTCAGTGGAGGACTCGACGGAAATGCCAATGGAGCTTTGATCTGATGATGGAGCTCGGTGGACTGGAGCTGTGCTCAAATGTTGGTGCATCAGTGTTCAATCGTTGCTGTTCTAGGTTTAGGGAAAAATTAATTTAGGGAAAAATTGATTTAGTTTGGAATGGAGAATGGAGATTGCTCAGTCGTTGACTCACTTAGTTTGGAATGGAGAATGCGTAGTCTAGAATGGAGAATGCTAACTGCTCATTCGCTGACTCGCTGGATGAACAATGGTCGGAGCTCGTCAAAGATAACCGTCGTTGAATGGTTGGAGCTCATTGGAGAAGAGGCTAGCTGAGAGTGATGGGTGGAGGAGTTCGCTCACAGTCGTTTGCGGAGGAGGAGAGCTGAGAGTGCAAATGGTTAAAAAATTTTAACCTTGGCTGTGATTTGGAAAATTTTAAGGGAACTGATATAACGTTCAAATCGTCATTGTAAATGACGTTTTTTACCCCTTTACTTTTTTTAATGCCCGTTAGCTGCCGTATAAAATTCATGTCTAACAACGTTATACTAAATGACGACTTTAAAAACATCATTAAGAATGACATTTTCAGGAAAAAAAATTCAACTTTAAATCGTCATTCCAAATGACGTTTTAACATCTGAAAACGTCATTTGAAATAATGTTTAAAAAAAAAACTAAGTTTGAAAAATAAGTTTAAAACTCACTAGGTTGGGGAATATTTATTTGAGAGGGGCTGGGTTTGGGGAAAACCTCAATTTATTAGGTATAGATCCCACATTTGACATTACTGGCACAAAGTAATTGTCTTCATCTATGCTATTAATTAATATTATTATTAAAAGGAGAGGAAGGGGCTTGGTGTCCACTAGTAAAATGTCTGTAATACTCTTTATTTCTTTTAGTAAAGTAGAAGAGTGAGATTGGTGTACATTACTAAAATTTCCATAATATACGCTTTATTTATTTTCAAATGACTAGTCTACCAATACCACCACTCATTTTTTTCACAAGTAATTGTATGTGCAAAGAACCCGATAAATCGACCACTGGGTAGCAACCTGAAGGTTACTGGTACGAGACGCGTTCATTGACAAAATCGTCCCGTGGGATGATTCAGAAAGAAGATATAAAACAGAATTTCAAATTCTTGTGAAATAATATAATACTTAGGAGTTCGAGATCGATTTACCAAGAATGATAGAACTTTAATCATAAACTAAAGTAAAATGTTGATTGAGAAAGTCGATTAATTTGCTTGTAGTAAAATAGTATAAGGTATTGATAATCCCCTTTTAACAAAGATGTGATATAAAATCTTGATCCAATTTACAATTCAAGTGACAATTAGCTAAGGAATAATCCTAGTAGGAAGATATAGTGGTGATTTGGTTGGAGCAAAACAGTTTTTTAAGTGTAAAAACTGAAGTTTTGGTTGATTTTGAGCCTAAATTTAAGTGGGACCCGTTCGTTATTTTGAATAAATTTTCATGAGTTCATATTCTACTTTGTGAGGAGAATAACGTGGTACATTCACTTCCTCAAATCGAGTAAGAAATGAATGAGAAAATAAGTTCCAAAGTGACCCTCTTGAATTGTGAAAATAAAAGTAGTGCAATGTGGGATATAACACCAATCCCACATTAGTTGAGGAAGAAATTCAATATGGGCATATATAGGCCAAGTTTGCTCGATGGGATTGGACCCCAAGGGGTATCACAATTTTATGAGCGGAGCAAACACCTACATGCCTTCGGTTCAACCGCATACGCACGCGTTCGCCTGTTGCCTCGCCACAACCCTGGCTAGACCCGGGCTCAGGTACGGGTATGGGTACGATTACGAGTGTGATTTAGACCAAGCCCTATCTTTTTGAAGAAAATTTAATTAATTTATTGGACGAGAATTTCTAAATCGAAATTTAATTTTCGATATCTGTTGGATCGCACTGGTTCGGATGTGTTGCTTCTCTCTAGTCCGAAATCGAGTTGTGACTGTTCATAGAAAATAGTTACAAGTGGTGTCTACTGGTTGATATTTGTCTTCCTGGGTTGTGTCTTTTAGTATGGTGGTTGTCCGAAAAGTCACCAAATACTCGGACTCATTACCATTTTTCATCAATTCATTTATTCAGTCCATTTTCGACATTAAGGCAAATATTAGTGCATTACAGTCTGCATATTGGCATTAAGGTAGCGTCTTGGAGAGTACACAACACAAATTTTGGTTCACTAGATGAGTAGATTGGAGTGCTACTTTTGCTAGTGTAAAGATCATTGTATCTTAAGAGACAGACGATCGGTATTCCATAAGTACTGTGTGTGGGCGTAAAATCTGTCTTAAGGACATAGTGTCAAACACTAGCCTTGATCTACATCAATTTCAATAATAGTTCATGTTTTGCAACTGGGGTAGTTTTTATATTAGTTTGGCAAAAAGTTACGTGTAACTCTTTACTGTTATTGTTTCGTTAGAGTAACTCGTTTCTGTGTAACTCTTTACATGGCTCAAATTAGAAATTTTAATAAGTGATTTTACATTATTTGGATACCAGAAACAACAATCTTAAGACATATTTCGTGTTTGTATAATTGCTTGTTAACATTCTGATACATGTTTTAATATTTTAAACTCTTCTAAAAATATTGTAAGTTGTTAAAACCTGTTTTGTTTACAATCTGTGATATTTTAAAGAGATGTTAACATTTTGTGAAAAATTGCATGTTCTGTTTATGTATTTAATTTAAATAGTTACACCAAACAGTGACTCAAATTTTAACAGTTACACCAAACAGTGACTTTGATTTAAACAGTTACGCCAAACAGTGACATCATACATAAACGTTAAAACAGTAACTTCTAAATAGTGACACTGAACAATAATATAGATTGTCTCTGTTTTAATAACTTGCTTTGAAATGTATTACTGTTTTCTTATTATTGAATAGTTTATAATTCTTGTTGATTAGAAATGGCTGCAAATGATAATAATATTCCTGCTACTACAAATCACGTTATGCATGTGATGCCTATATCTGTTCCTACTCATGTGTCTCATGGAGAGAAACCCGAAAAGTCCAATAAGAATGATTTCAAGACAACAAAAAATATTGTTTTATCTCACTATGTTGAACCATGCAAAATTTCTTCGTGAGGATGCTCCTGTTTGTAGTGAGAATGAGACCGACAGCCAAGTTGTTGCTGAGGTAGATGCATGGAAGCATTATGATTTTTCGTGCAAAAACTATATCCTCAATGGATTGGATAACACATTATATAATGTGTATAGTCCAATAAAAATGGCTAGAGAGCTGTGGGAATCCTTGGATAAAAAGTACAAGACAGAGGATGTCAGAATGACGAAATTCGTTGTGGGCAAATTCCTTGACTACAAAATGGTGGATTCCAAGACCACCATAAGTTAAGTTCAAGATTTTCAAGTGATCCTACATGAGATTCATACCGAATGGATGGTGCTTAGTGAATCTTTTCAAGTGACTACAATTATTGAGAAATTACTACCAAATTGGAAGGACTTCAAAAATTATTTGAAACACAAACGCAAAGAAATGAAACTTGAAGATTTGATCGTGAGATTGAGGATTAAGGGGGACAATAGAGTCTCTGAAAAGAATGTTGGCAATCATTCCATGGAGTCAAAGGCATATGTGATTGAAGAGGGACATAAAACCAACATGAAAAGGAAGTATGTTGGCCAAGAGTGGTGATTCCAAAAGGTTCAAAGGCAATTACTTTGTGTGCAATAAACTGAGACATCGTGCAAAAGATTGTCNAGGAAGTATGTTGGCCAAGAGTGGTGATTCCAAAAGGTTCAAAGGCAATTACTTTGTGTGCAATAAACTGAGACATCGTGCAAAAGATTGTCGAAGTCATAAAGCACAAGTGAACCACAAGAGGAAGGCTGCCCAAGCCAATATAACCAAGGTAGAAAACTTTCTGAAAATGTTTCTAACATAAGTTCTTTTGCTGTAGTATCCGAAGTGAACTTGATGGAAAATACCAAGGAATGGTGGGTGGACACTGGGGCCACTAGACACATATGTTCATTTAAGAAGATGTTCTCTTCATATGAAACAATTAATGATGGAAAACAACTCTTCGTGGAAAATTCATCTACTTCTAAAGTTAAAGGCAAAGAAAAGGTTATATTGAAGATGACTTCTGGAAAAGAACTTACTCTCAATGATATGTTACATGTTCCAGAAATTCGAAAGAATCTTGTGTCTGGATCGTTGTTGAGTAAGAAGGGTTTTAGGTTGGTTTTTGAGTCTGAAACATTTGTACTCACAAAGAGTGGGATACATGTGGACAAGGGATATATGAGCGATGAGCTCTTTAAGTTGAATGTAATGACTATTCTATTTGATTTTAATAAAAAGAACATATCTTTTACTTATATGCTTGAGTCTTCTAATATATGACATGATAGATTAGGACATGTTAATTTTTTAATACTATGCGTAAATTAATGAGTTTATAATTGTTGCCTAAATTCAATATTGATGCAAATCATAAATGTGAGGCATGTGTTGAATCAAAATTAACTAGAGCATCATTTCATTAATTGGACCAGAATTTCTAAACCGAAAATTAATTTTCGGTATCCGTTGGATCGCACTAGTTCAGATGTATTGTTTCCCTCCAGTCCGAAATTGAGTTGTGACTATTCATAGAAAACAGTTACAAGTGGTGTCTACTGGTTGACATTTGTCTTCTTGGATTGTGTCTTTTAGTATAGTGACTGTTCGGAAAGTCACCAAATACCCAGACTCATTATAGTGCATTAAAGTCTGCATATCGACATTAAGGCAGTGTCTTGGAGAGTACACAACACAAATTTTGGTTCGCTGGACGTGTAGATTGGAGTGCTACTTCTGCTCATGTAAAGATCATTGTATCTTGGGATGCAGATGCCTGACATTCCACAATCACTGTGTGTGGGGGCGAAATCTGTCTTAAAGACATTGCCAAACACTAACTTTGATCTACATTAACTTTAATAACAGTTCATGTTCTACAACCGGGTTAGTATTTATATTAGTTTGGCAAAAAGTTACGTGTAACTCTTTACTGTTACTGTTTCGTTAAAGTTACTCGTTTCTGTATAACACTTTACATGGTTCAAACTAGAAATTTCAATAAGTGATTTTACATTATTTGGATATCAGAAACAACAGATTTTATAGTAAAAAAATTCAAAATAATGTATAATTAATAAATTAACATATGTTAGAATCGTTATTTGAATGTGAATCCCAAGATTTCATTTTGAGCCTAGAGTTTACAATCAATCAAGATCTTGAACAACCAAC